TTTTCGATATCATAAGTCTTTGTAAATTCTCATTACTTAAAATTTGTCAGTGAAATTCTTAGGTATATCTATACTGAGCAGATTCAGCCTCTCACAGCTTGCTATGTGCTTGTAAGACTATATATGTATCATGTTCCCAACTGATTTGAGTGTGGTCTGTTGAAGACAGCAGGGACTGTGAAATTTTACTGAAAGTAAGTAGAATATTTTGTTTGGGTTTTGTGTGGCAACGAGCAACGCCAAGAAGCGTGATGAAGAGGAAGCAGCCTGGCTCAAATACAAGGAAAGTTGTAAATATGAAATGTGTGAAAGGAGAAGAAGTTGAGGGAAGGGGAGAAAGAGAGTGAGAAGCAGGAGCTAACAAGCAAGACATCTGGGAAGATAGGGATGGGGGAAGAAATCTCTGAGCAAGAGTTGGAGGTGAAGGAAGGTGTGTAACTAGGTCAAGAGCTGCCATGTTAATGAGGAATGTAGGAGAAAAGAGGAGTAATGTGCTCAAAAAATGAGGGTAAGAGCAGAAGTTGGGTGGGAGGAGAACAGATTTGTTTTATTAAGTTAGTGTAATCAATAGAAAAATAGAAAATGCCTTTCCACATGGCACGTTTTCTTCTCTGGGGCGGTGGCAGTTTGCTCACTTTGTGGCTATTAAGAGTTTTTTTAAGAGGTGCTAAATTTGAAAGGAGTCTGGTATATTCACACAGCCATATTTTCATGCAGGCTGCTGGACGTTGAGGAGATGTAAAGTCTAAGGCGAAATCTAATGCAGCAGTTTGGTGCAAGGCCAGATCCAGACAAAACACATGACCTGGTTTTGTTATATCTTGGCCTATCCAGGGACCCTGACTTTTGAGCCAGAAAGGGAGGAGAGACCTGTAAGCAAGCTGGGGGAGATCCATAGAGAGTCTGCACTCTTGTCCCTGTGAATCCCCTCCAGCTTGCTTAAAGGTCTTGTTTAGAGAGGCATTACAAAAGAACTTGGGGGGGGGGAAATTGTATTAAAATTTCCTTTGAAAATGTTCTTGAAAAATGTAGAGAAGAGTACATATTCACACAGATAAGTGTTTTGCAACTGAGGCTTTTGATAGGTAACGTAGTATCTATTGTCACATGGAGTTACAGCTTCAGATATGAATATAATCCCAGTTTAATTAAATCAATATAAATATTTAAATGGATCCTTTGTAGTTTAACCAGTTTTGGGCCCAGTAGTGATACATGTTGCATAAAAAGCTGGTTGAGAAACTGTCTCTAAAATCTGCATCTACCTTGTAATTTATTTGTAATCCTGTTCATTAGGTATCTGATAGTAATCATAAGCTGAAGTTGAGAAGTAGAAGAATGTGATGCTCTCTGGGAAATGAAAGATAGAAGCAAAAGGAAAACAGGTAGAAGACAGGATGAAAGAAAATACAACCTCTGTAGATTTTTGTCAACTAAAAGTCATGGCAGTCAGGTGAAGTCCCTGGTGATTGGGAAAAGGGAAACATTGTGCCCATTTTCAAAAAGGGTAGAAAGGAAGACCCTGGGAACTACTGACCTGTCAGCCTCACCTCTGTGCCTGGGAAGATCATGGAACAGATCCTCCTAGAAGCTATGCTAAGGCACATGGAGGCCAGGGAGGTAATTTGAGATAGCCAGCATGGCTTCACCAAGGGCAAGTCCTGCCTGACGATGGTGTGACAGCATCAGTGGACAAGGGAAAACCAACAGACATCATCTATCTGGACTTCTGCAAAGCCTTTGACACGGTCCCCCACAACATCCTTCTCTCTAAATTGGAGAGCTATGGATTTGATGGGTGGACTGTTCGGTGGATAAGGAACTGGCTGGATGGTCGCGTCCAGAGGGTAGTGGTCAATGGCTCAATGTCCGGATGGAGACCGGTGACGAGTGGTGTCCCTCAGGGGTCCGTACTGGGACCGGTGCTGTTTAATGTTTACATCAATGACTTAGACAGCGAGATCGAGTGCACCCTCAGCAAGTTTGCGGATGACACCAAGCTGAGTGGTGAGGTTGACACACCAGAAGGAAGGGATGTCATCCAAAGAGACCTGGACAGGCTGGAGAGGTGGGCCTGTGTGAACCTCATGAGGTTCAAAAAGGCCAAGTGCAAGGTCCTGCACCTGGGTCGGGGTAACCCCCAGTATCA